ATGACACAAAGTTCCTAGAAATCTAGAGGAGAGAGACCAACCATCCAACAGAGAATAGGCAACAGACAACAACAAATTACAAGTTTCCTTCAAAAATAGGAGGAGACTTTCAATACCACACATACACTAAAAGAAATGCAAATGAAAGCTCTAACAATACACTATTTTTTTTACCTAAAATTTCACAACACATTCTGTAAAGTTTTAGAGTATAGATACTGCAGTGCATGGTTTTATATCGCTGGTGAGGTTGTACAATGATACTACTTCTGAGGAGGAGAATTTAGCAATACCTAACAAAATGACAAGTGGATTTTTTTCACCCTGCAGTTCCACTTCCAGGACCCTATACCACATATACAGCTGCATAAGGATGAAATGGCATTTATACATGATTGTTCACTGTAATAAGGGAATACTGGGAAGAATCTAAGTATCCAGCAAGACAAGTTAAATAGTTATGGTGCACCCTCAATAAAGAATGTTTGCAAAGATTTTTAAAGTGAGAATAATATTTATGTACTGACATAGCAAACTCACAATAAGTATCATAGAATAACCAACAGCAAGACACAGAATAGTATACATAGGATATGAAAAACTCTATTTATGTAAACAAAAGACTAGAATGATAAACAAGAAAGTAATTATTAAATTATTCCACAAATTGGCAAGGGGGAAATAATGAAAGCAAAATATTTATGTGCATGCATTTTGTATTGTTTTGACCTTTTAATTATGCAAATATATTAACTTTTTCAAGAAAATTATATTAGGAAGATAACTTCCCAAGTTGAAAACAAATTGAACTAAAAGAACCTAACTGTATATCAAATTGGTAACAGCAAAATTATATCATTCAAATAACTAAAAAGTGCAGTAATTTGATTGTCAGTATGTAGTATGAGATATTCTAAGGCAAAAAGAACCATAAACAAAAAATTAGACTGCCTCGGTAACTGTATTGCTTTTTGTAAAATTAATATTGACATTTTCAAAATATTTTTCATAATAAATATGAAAACAAATAATTATTTTAATGATATTAGATATCAAAACTTTCAGTGCAAAAAATGATAGAAATATAAAATTTTTAAAAGTGAAAACACTCAAATGTTAATATTTTATTTAAATTATAAATATGACTTCGCGATTTTTCAAATATATATTTAAAGACCCTGAAAGGTCCTTGAAGCAATGTAACCTCAATAGCAATTAATATTCTTCATATCCAGGTATGGCCCGATTACCATTCCCCATGGGGGAAAGCAAACAAATAGACAAACAAAACAAAACAAAAACCAACCAACCAACCAAACCAACCAAAAAAACAAGGCTCCTCAGAGAAATGGTTGATTTCAAGTCTGGGGCAGAATAAGAGCAGTGTCAGCTTAGGACTTCTTGCACCGGAGAGCAAGGATGCCTTCAGACAAGTGGGGCTGTGACAAACAGACCAGGAGCCAGTGTGGAGCCGTCCACAGGTCAAAGTTGTGACAATCTGAACCTCAAAAAGAATAATGAGTTTAGTGGATTGAAACAGATTGAATCAATGAAAAGTCAATGAGTCCATAATGATATTTCAAGAAGAAAGTCATAGAAATCTCCTTTGTCACTATTTGAGGTAGGTATTAAAACAACTCTTTCAAAACTGGAAAATAAAGTGAAAGAACCGATCTTTCTTTTTTCTGCCTTTCTGCTAGTAACTGGGTTTTAGGGTAACAAAATTGTCCACCTGGTGAAGAAACGTTTTCTACATAGAAATCCTGGCTGATAAATGAAGAAAGAGTGGTGGGATTTTAAAGCATTTGAGAAACCTTAATTAAATTAACTGCTTCAGGCAAGGATTATCAATTGGTATCACAACCACTAGGTGAGTGGTTTGCACAGTAATACTTTGATATAGTGCAAATTAATACTACACAGATTACTGTCTGGTCCCAAAAGAAAAGTGTTATGCTACAATGGAGGAGTGAATTGTCATTACAGTAATCCAAGGTCAATGTTAGTGTCATTAATGATGGGTCAATGAAATATTATGTGTCTTCCAGTGTACTACAATCCTATATATCTAAAATCAATTAAAATCAGCCAGAAATGTTTCATTTGAATGCAATAAGCCTTTTGATGTAATTTCTAGGTTATGGGACACCTGTAAAGTGTTAGAAACCTATGAGCTAAATCACACCACAAGCCAGACAGATACAGAAGATAGTACATTACATAGGACAACTGACCTATTCTCATTAACAAGTCAGTGCCATAAAAGAAAAAAATGAGCCTGGGCACTGTGGCTCACATCTACAGTCCTAGCAGTTTGGGAGGCCAAGGTAGGTGGATCACTTATGGCCAGGAATTTGAGACCAGCCTGGCCAACATGGCAAAACTCTGTCTCTACTAAAAATACAAAAACTTAGCTGGGCCTGGTGTTGCATGCTTGTAGTCCCAGCTACTCTGGAGGCTAAGGCATGAGAATCGCTTGAACCTGGGAGGCAGAGGTTGCAGTGAGCCAAGATTGCACCATTGCACTCCAGCCTGGGCAACAGAGCAAGACTCCATCTCAAAAACAAAAACAAAAACAAAACAAAACTAAAACTAAACAAGCAAAGAAGCAAGGGGATGCTCTTCTGCTCTTATGGATTAAAAGTGACTAGTGGCAAATAGGGGCAAAGGTGTGTTAGTAATATTTCACAGCCAATTTGGAATGATGAAGAGGCTTTGATTTGCAATATTTGCTGATTTCCATATTGTAAATACTTCCACCATGGCACTTGCAAGCTACCAATGTGACATCAACCCACTTGTAAAATTTCTGAAAGCTTAACAACTGAGTCTTGTGCGAGGTACAAGTCAGCTGCAACATGTCACTGCTTAAGTGACAATACAACCTGGCTCAGGGTGGTCCTAGACTGATACAGCAGAAACCAACTGCACAGGTCATGTGAATGTCATCTGGGAGAATATTCGATGAGTTTACAATAAAATAAAATGGGAAGGTAGCTATCATTACTGGAAAAAGAAGCAGGATATGAAATAGTGTGTATAGTATGCTCCCATTTTGATGTAAAATGTTGTAAATATGCCAAGGTGGATATTCAACAAGGTGCTAACAGTGGTGGCTTCTGGATGATGAGAATATGCTTTTTTTTCATTTTTCTAAAATTTTCTAAGGCACCTCCACCAACGCTATAACATTTGGTTGTAATATTATGATGATATTTTTAAAAGAGAGATGACAATCAGGCAAAAACATATATTTTGGAGCAGGGAGGTATGCTAATAGATAGTGTCTGGGGGATCAATCCATCTGTCTTATCCTTGGAGGGACCTTTTTTGGCCAGAGGACCTATTTGGGACCCCTGAAAAAGAAACTGGCTGCACTTGCAGAAGTTTGTAAATCAAGTAGGAACTCACAGTTTGCGGGTTTTTCTTCTTTCTTTTGAGTCCTCTGTGACCACTGCAGCCCAATCCATTGTGAGTCCTCCCTCAGCTTAAGTCTGCCAGAGCACTTTTTCATTTTTTTTTTCACTCAGTCCTTTATTCCTTTACTCCACCAATTGTTCTTCATCCCTTCACTAAGTATCCCAAGCTACTTGGTGAAGTTCAACACAGCTTAACTTGGCATGAAAATACGGATGCACGATCCCAGCCTACAGCAACTAACTTGGAATTCAACAGTCTTCTTATTCTTCCCCATTATGGGAGTGCTTTGAAGACAAGGGCCATCATTTACACTTCTTTGCCTCTATTGCAAGGTTTAGCACAGAACTATTTACATATTAAGAATTCATAAAATAATTACTGACTATAAGGTGGACTCACTGTTTTTGTAACTTCCTAAGGGACTAATTAAACATACTAACCAGTAAAAGCCATTGACTGGTTATCTCCAGACATTTTAAATCATGTAATCTCCTAAGTAGAAAAAGAAAATAAATACAAATTGAGCATTGTCTCTCAGCAAATGTATGTTTCTTTCTCTATGAATTATATATATATATCATTATGCTAACACAATATAATTTTTTCTTACTTTTAGACGATATTTATTTGCACACTCTCTGGAAAATACTGGACTAAACTAGCCTTCCTTTTTCCTGTTTTTCTCCTCTCAGTCCTCCTTCCTAAATCCTCATGGACAAGTACAAAATTCTCATGAAAAGGGAAGAGATGGAAATTGCAGTAACCTGAGTTAAAGGCAGTTTTCCAAGCCCCCAGCCCAACCCACTACATCTGAAGGATATGTCACTTGATGGGTGTTGTGCTTATGTATCTTCCACCCACACACAAGCTTCCCATACCTCTTCAATCTGGAATGTAAGCCAAGTAAATATAACTTTGTTACCCATGGCATAAATAATATCAGCCACCATTCAACTTCCAAATGACTCCTGATACACTCTTTTCACATTGCACAGGGATGTGAAGAGAAAATAACTTTGAGCTAGTATCATTTCGGCGGGGAGCTAACTCAGTGATTTTCATCTGGATGAAATAAGGAAGTATCAGGACTTGTCTATTACCCATGCAGGTGAGATAGGAATAGAAACATCCGCTCTGTCAAATTGAATGGACTCCTGCTTTAGCACTCTTAGACTCTGGTTTAACATCAAGATGTCTCAGGCTTTAAATGAAATGTCAAATATAATTTGGCTCTGGGTTCCCAAGATATATGATTGCCCTTGGAGAAAACTTGATAACTCAGCATTCTTGTGTCAAATGTGTATCTACCTGATAGAGGACTCTATAAAGATGGTCTCCCGCTCTCCCTCCACCACAGAAAAAGCCTCAGCCTGCCTGATGAGCCAGGTTCCATTCCTTGCTGTAATAGGCATGAGACTCAAAAAACAAAAACAAAAACAAAAACAAAACAACAAAAAAAAAACTTTTATGTCCATGAGGCAAAAGTCACTGTTCAGATTCTCTTTGGCAATCTAATCTGCACAGACTATGATAACTCAGTATTGGAATGCAGAGACTTTTAAGGTCTTTTGATGCAGTCGGCCATGCCCATGACAGCATATCACACACATCCCCTTCCCTTCAAAGTCCTCTTTCTGAGATGTTCCTCATTATCACTGCCTCTAGCTTGGCATTAATTTTCTTCATTGTTGGAGAGTCAGGCTCAGCCCTAAAATTCAACTGAAAAAAAAGTAAAGACAAAGAAAAAACATAGCAGCCTGCTTCTTTCAAGCAAAAGAAACTCAACCTAAACTTGGAAGGACTAAGGGGCTGAGTATGCACTAAGCAACTGTTAGACAAAGAAGATAAAGCAGTAAATGTGATCAAAAGACTCAGAGTCTGGTCCAAAATGATTTTTGAAAACTAACACAGTAAACAAAGAAATCTGACAGCCTTAGCCTTGAGCATACGTAAACATTTTAGTGAAACTTGGTCTCTAGCAAAGAGCCTTTCTCTCATTGACACATTGCAATGCCAGAAATTCTGAACTACAGTTGGAATGCTAAATGTAATTGTGACCATGACATACGTATCTGAAAGGGGCAATGAACCATCCTGTTATGAACATACTGATGACTCCTTATTGAGCATTTAAAATGAGCCTGGCAATTTTGATCCATTATCTCTATTGCTCAGAACACCAAAGAAAGGTGTTATGGATTGAAGTGTGCCTCCTCCCAACAAAGATGTTTTGAAGTCCTAACCCCTAGTATCCCAGAATCTGGCCTTATTAGGAAATAAGAGTCTTTATAAAGGTAATCAAGTTAAAATGAAGTCATTAGTGAGGGCTCTAATCCAATATAACTGGTGTCCTTATTAAAAGGGGAAATTTGACACAGAGACAGACACACACAGAGAAATGATAATGTGAAGACACAGGAAGACCACCAGGTGAAGACAGAGGATCAGAGTGATGCATCTGCAAGCCAAGGAATGCCTGAGGCTACCAGAAGCTAGGAGACACCTAAGCAGATCCTTTCCCAGTGACTTCAGAGAGAGCATGGCCCTACCAACTCCTAATTTTTAGACTTTTAGCCTCTGGAACTGTGAGGTAATAATTGTTTCTTGTTCTAAGCCACCTAGTTTGTAGTAATTTCTTATAGAAGCACTAGGAAACTAATACTGAAGGTAATATTACCATATTTATGCTACAAATGTGGAAACTGAGGTGGAGTTCAAATTCAGCTCCATCTGACTCCAGAGCTCATACTCAAGCAACTGCAACAGTGTTTCCAAACTGGTTTCCATGGGCCCTGGAGTTCCAAAAATACGCGCCTGAGGTTCCAAACATTCAGCCCCAAAAATTCTTAGTTTTCCATTTGCATTTCAATGGTACTACAGAAATGATAAGTGTATATGGTCTTATCTTAATTCAAACAACAGCCCACAATTTCCATATCCACGACTATGTTTGTGTTGGTGATAGAGCCTATACCAATTATTACTACCTTAATTGTCCCAGAATAATTTAAATAGAGTACAGTATGTTTTTTGCAAAAATAATGACTTTGGCACAATGTAAAGTCTAAACTGCATCATAGGTGATCATATAAAAATAAAAAAAGGTCTAAGTAGCTGAGGCAGAAAAACTGGGAAAGTCAAGTCATCGTCACACAATACTTATATAATAGTACACCCATGCTTACCTTAAAAGGCCCATGCAATAATAATCAGAGCTACATTGATGTAAGGAACAATGATTTTCCTTCACAAATATCATCATTACATGTGAGTAATATTGTTAATATAAATGTTATTGGGTTGTATATTTGTATTTAAAAAATAATGATTATGTTTATTGTTCTGTTAAGATTTAGAGTCATTCAAAAAGTTATATCCACTTTTATGTCTATATATGGGCAAAGAAGAAATGATTGAGATGTTAGGTTGCGTTTGGGATCTGTATCATTCCCCTCTTTCATTCCAGTAGGTAGGTAGTCAGTTATCTATGTTCTGTCACATCAGGAGAATTTGCAGGTTCACAACCAAAACTACTGGAGGAACATATCACACAGGGCTTTTTGTGAATGCTTTGCTGATGGAGGAGACATGCTAAGTACACCAAAAAGAGAGAAAAAAAGGCAATGATTATTGCTAGTAAGAGAATAAGTAGAGAAAGGGATGGCAGATTTACCCAGGTTTCAAAGGAGAAGAATATCTGAGGGTGCCTCCATGTCCTCCTACTCCCTCTCTGGACAAGCTTGGGAGATGGATAAAGTGCTGCTTAATTCACCTTAGGAAACTGGATCCTAGAGATTTTTAGAATGCAATTCCTGGGCCTCAAGCATGTCCTAAAGGGATCAGAACAGTAGACTTTAAGTTGCTCTGCAACGAGGATAAGGCTGTCTCGCTGATAATTAAAGGGCCAATGGCCTACATGCTTTGGCACTGCCCCAGACACCCCTCCCAAGACCTTTGGACAACCTTTAGTGGATGTGTCAGTTGAGATTCAGGGAACCCTAAAATAATTAGGTTAATATTCCTGTGAGCCTGATGAAAAGATGAAGGCTCAATCTTATTCAATCTTAAGGTAAGTATACAAAGTAATGGTACAAATCTGACACACCCAAATGGTCTACATACCTATATAATTAATATTATAATCAATAATTATCTAGGTCAATACTTTGGATCTGAGATAATTTTTTTTTATTTAAAAAGAAATCTGAACATTACAAGGCTTAAAATGCATGCTGTCACTCAGTGTTGCCTCCTTTGGTAGCAACTAACGGATTAGCATGGGTTAATCCACCTGCTAGCTAGCTGTCACCTTGGAAACAGATAAACAGAGCCCTGAGGGATGAGGCAAGTGGATTTATAGACTTAAATAACAATTCCAGAAAACTAGAGAAGAAATGTCACAGGTAATTCATAATTAATTGCCAAATGACTTTCACAAACATTAACTGCTTAACAATAAGTGTTCCCTATGTTTTCTAAGGTTAGAATGTTATAGAACATTTTCATACATCTTACTTCATTCAGTCTTACTGAGGTGGCTAAAAATAGACTGTGGCCATATGACCCTGTTCCACTACTACCAAATAAATCCTTTGTCATCCATTTACCAGTGGCTGTTAATCTTCTAGAAGGGAATATGGAAGGCAAAGAGATTTGGGGACACAAGACAACTGAGTAACCTAAGGAATATGTAAGAGGGTAACATTTTGAAGATAAATGAGATTACCTGGAGGATCCAGTGCCTTCTAATTGTTGGTCCTGATTGTGTCCCTTTGCCCCTTCTGACTAGAAAATGACTTCACCCCTTTCCCCTCCGAGAAGCTCTTCAGCGTCCCCACTTCCTTGTTCTGCCTCCAAGCTGCCTCTGCAGTCCTGACTCCCCTGTTCCTGCAGATGACCAGCCACTGTGCTGTGCTTTGAGGTTACCAAGCCCTTTTTTGTCATCAAGCATGTTCTCATGTCTCTGCCCAGTGTTCCCCGTCACTCCCCTTCCTGATGAACCTCCATTTGTTCTCCTAGAGCCCGGTCCCCGCCATGCCTGGGTGCCTGAGGTATTCCTGAGCTTTCTCCCTCTGAATCTGTTCAGTGGCATGGCTCCATCTCAACAATTACCAACATGGTTCAAAATCATTTGTATTTAATGAAATTGTCCTAGAATCTGGGCCAAAACTGAGGGCAACAGAGTCTTCACACATTCTAAAGAAAGAGAAGCTGAAGACCACTACACCCTCCAGGCTGTGTGAAAGACACTAGAAATGTGAGAGGAGGCTCAGGAAGGAATTGAAAGTACTTGGCTTTTCTCAACCAAAAAGCTGGCGAAGAAGCTTGAAGAGCGTCTTTTTGCAGATCCTGGGGGTGGCTGCAAGAAAGGGAGGCTGAAGGCCCAGTTCCCAGAAGAATGTTTACTGTGCCGTGAATCACAGGCCTCATGGCAGCTCAGGATTCCAGTGAAGCAAGCAGTGAGTGATTATGGGAGAGCTTGAGTTTGGGGGTATATGTGGACAGAGAGATTGGAGCCTGCTTCCCACTGGCAAGACTCTGGCAGCATAGGACTGCCAGAGCAGTCCAGGATGGCAGGGAGCAGCAGCAGTAGCCGGAGAGCAGTGTTGGGCTTGAAGAATAGATGTGAATTTCCTCTGGACCCAGTGCATGGCTTAATGGGTAGAGAATGGCTGAGTTTAAGACAACTTAATGGGATCCTACCCAAGAGGGCTCTGTGCCTAGGATTGATCTCAGAGGGGCAGGGGCTAGAAGGAGGTTCCAAAGGGTCAGCGAGAAAATGTGCCACCTGTGTCAGGAAACTACACTGCAGAAATTCCCATGTTGAGGGTAAGGTGTTGTGCAGGAAAACCCTATGAACAGCTTACCATAGTATCTGAACACCTGCTGGAGCCAGGAGCACAGACGCCTGTATTACAAGCCATTAGCCATGTGAGTCATTGTTTCCTTTATTCTTCTAATGTCTGTTTCCTCACACCCCTTCCCATCCCCCACAGGGCAGAACTTAAAGGAATATGAAGCAGGAGTGGGAGAAAGTGAAGGAAGATCGAGGAGAGACCATACTGGACCCCACTCTAGTCTTCAAGGTGCAATCTGAAGGAAGGAAAGAAGCTTCAAATTAAACATGAGCCTGAAGCTTTAAAAAAGTCAGAATTTGGCTTTTTAAACCCAGAAGGGACTCTATATTGTAAAAAAGTGGTCAAAAGGATGGAACACTTATGGAATCTGCTCAAGATGTCATCAAACTGCAAGGAAAGGTAATGAAAAGAGATAAAGCACATTGAAGGAAACAATGAGAGAAAAATAAATAAATCCATTTCCTGTTTATACTCTATAAAGCTCAGCCCAAGTAATAAATTAATTTTATACATTTGTATTTATAAAAGTATATAGTCTGTATATAGTCTGTAGCTTTTTGAGGAATAGAGCGTATTTGTTCATTTTAATATCCTCAGCCTCTGTCACCCATATGCAATGAGATGAAGACGAAGAGCTGTCTCTAAGGCCAGAAATGTCACTACCTGGAGCGTACACAAGTCTTAGCCATCAGACACAGCAACCTAGGGCCCACACTTTGCTCTCTTTTTCCACAAGCATCACTTCCAATCAACACCGTGAACCCAGGTGGAATCCTAAGAGGGCCCAGAGTCATTACAGAGACTCCTTTCATCCTTCCAACTCTACTTATCTTCCAAAGGTCCACAGTGAGGGAGTGATAAATCCTATGGGCAAAGACACACTCATATGTCACTCACCTCCTTTGTCTGAAGGTTTCTACCTGCTAGCTGTGTCCAAATGACAAATGCATTCAATATGAAAATGGAACCTCCCAAGTCATCTTTTATAAAAATGACTTCTCTGCACACCCACACTTATGTGAGGTCCCAGCAGTAAATGAAATTCCTTAGGGAGAACATGAAGGTAAAGGGGATGACTTTGGAGCATTTTCCTGGGTAAATTGCTCAAAGGAATTGGTCTAGTTATCTATTACTATATAACAAACTACCCCAAATTGTAGTGGTTTAAAATTTAATTTTGATTTGACTCACACTTGTTTGGGTCAGGAATTTAGAAAAGGTTCAACTGGGTGGTTGAAGGGGCTGGGACAGCTGAAGCAGGAGGATGCACATCTAATATGGTATCTTCAATTACTTCCCTGAAGCCTGGGCTGGGATGCCTGACTGTTGAGTCTTTCTGACGGCTAGGAGCTCAGCTGTGGCTGTCAGGTGAAGAGCTGACACTTGGTCGGGCAAGATGCTATAAGACTTCATACGACTAATCTCAGAAATGCTAGAATTTTATTTTGCTACATTCTGTTGGTCAAGCAAATCACCAAGAAAGCAGAATTAGACTCCGCTCTCAATGACAAGAATAGCAAAGAATCTGTTACCAGTTTAATCTACCACAGGTTTGTTGAGATGCATTCTATGTGAAGGGCTGGCAACTCCCTCTTTAGCTGCTGCTTTTTTCACCTGGTCTTTACATAAACACTGTATAGAATAGATATGGTAGTAAGATTAAAAGCTATGCCTTTCTTATGCCCAGAGTTAACCAATTGTTATCACCTTGAACAAGTCATCTAATCTGTGTGTGTGTGTGTGTGTGTGTGTGTGTTAGAAAATGTAGATTGTTCCTGGGTTTCAGAAAGTTAGAATTCCCAAATGCAGAGTATGTAAACCAAACACAGCCTACATGTTTGTTCGGTGTGAGCTTTGCTTTGATATACATATACATGTATATTTGTGTGCATACACATATACATACATATGTTAAAGAACATATCTACTTAATTGACATATTTAAAACTGAGTGATGCTATATAAAATTCAGAAGATCTGGCAACAGTAGACATGCATTCCAACATGGCAAGAAGTGCCTGGAATTGAGGGTCTGGTGCCTTCTTTGGATGGCACACACACTCTCTGGTTTGCTCACATCAGTCACATATGTCTCAGGAAAGGGACAGATTAGCATCAGAGTTTGCTTCTCTACCACATAGTATAATGGTTAAGAGTACACAAATGCCGGCTTTCATGGCATATCTTCAAATCCTGGCTCTGCCACTTACAAGCTATGCTGAAGACAATGTTGAAAATGAAACCTGCAGCAGCAGACCACCCACATCAATTTTCAAGGAAAAGATCAATCTTGTCCCTGCCCCAACTGACTGACATTCAATAGCAGAAACAATAGCCAACACCATAGACTCCTCAATTGATGCTGCTTATACCATTGTAATTGAAAAATTAAAGGTGAGAAATCTTCCAGTCAATGAGTGCCAAAATCATTGCACCCAGATCAGCTGCAGACAACAGCAGAACTTTCTACGGAAATTTTAAATAATTGGGATCAAGATCTTAAAGCATTTCTTTGAAGAGTTATAACAGAAGATGAAACATGTCATTACCAATACAATCCTGAAGACAAAGGACAATCAAAGCAATGGCTGCTAAAAGATAGAAGAGGTCTAGTCAAAATAAAAGTGGATTGATCAAGGGCAAAGATCATAGCAACAATTTTTTTTTTTTGAATATTCAAGGCATTTTGCTTGTTGACTTTCTGGAGAGCCAAACAATAACATCCACTTATTATGAGAGTGTTTTGAAAAAGTTAGCCACAACTTTAATAGAAAAAAACCCAGGAAAGATTTCCCAGAGAGTCCTTCTCCACCAGGACAATGCTCCTGCTCATTCTTCTCATCAAACAAGGGCAATTTGAGGAGAGTTTTGATGGGAAATTGTTAGGTATCCACCTTACTGTCCTGATTTGGCTCCTTCTGACTTCTGTTTGTTTCCTAACTTAAAAAAATCTATAGTAGGCACCCATTTATCTTCAGTTAATAATGTGAAAAAGACTGCATTGGCCTGGTTAAATTCCTAGGACTCTCAGTTCTTTAGGGATGAACTAAATGACTAGTATTATTGCTTACAAACGCATCTTGACCTTGATGGAACTTATTTTGAGAAATAAAGTTTATCTTTTAATTTCATTTTTCCACAAACTATTTCAAGTTCCCACATGTTTATTTTTATTTTTCTGAGATCTAGCAGAACACACATAGGTTTATTACATGTAGTAGAGAACATTTCTGATAGGAAGATTCACCAGTTCTCTTTTGAATACCTTAGAGTAGAAAACTTACTTCTATTTGTGACAATCTTGTAGTAATTCATTCTATGGTTATCAGTTCTAGTTTCAGAAAGTTCTTTCTTAAATTAATACTACACAAAAGGTATTGCATCATCTCTCCATGTAACTGAATCTCCTCATTTCTGTGCAGTTTCATAAAACTTATATTCTGTATTTTTCCTTTAAAATCTATGTACTTCGCAGTTTTATCACTTAACTAAATTTTTTTTAAATTTTTAAATTTCATGTGTCAGATCCTGTTCAAGAGGCCAAGAATACAGCAATGAATAACACCCAGTTCCTGCACAACAGAAGCTTAGAGATCAGTGTGCATGTATTATAGGATGCTACATGCACTGTCTTTTATATTATCCTGTAATATACCCAAAATTACCCATAATACTGCCTTTTATTTCTCTCGTGTTAACATTTATTAGGTGCATCTGCTAGCCTTATATTGATTGATCCACAGAAGAACTCTGTGAAATAAACTTTATTATTTAGAAATGAGATTTTAGAGTTTTAGAGATAAGAAAACTGAGGTTTGTGCACTGCTTTCTCACACCAGCCCTCTGACCCATCTCCAGAGCCTAGCATGGGACTGGGTACACCCAAATAAAGGAGTCAATCAGTAAACTACATCTGAGCTAAGGAGGGTCTGGAATAGCTCTGGTCAACACTTTCCCAATGCTGAGCCGCCAGTTCAGGAAAAAGACAAAGTAGCCTGAAATATGATTTTACAATACTTAGCATGGACACAAGTGCTTAAAAAGTGAAGAAATCAGCAATTATCCACATGCTTACTCCAAAATATTCAAACCCAAGTTGGTCCTTTTGCATCTATTTGACTGTTTTATGCTATGAGTAGTATAACTCTGGATGAACAAAGCCTATAGCAGAAGTTAGAAGACCTGGCACATGATTGATCAGAAAGATCATTGAATCTATGAGTTCAAGCTTTTGTACCTCCCTATTTAGCTAAGTAGCCCTCATTGGATCTATAAAATCCTTATCAACAATGTCAGGGACATAATGGGAACTCAAGAATAGCTTTCATATAAATTAATAAAACAGGATGCTTAAGAGGGAGTACAAATATAAAATCATATTGTCATTTATATTATACTCCATCAACATGGAATTACAGTAAAATTACACTTTTCCATGACTAAGGCAAAGTATTTGATTATGACTTGGAATCTCCTTTTAAGCCTAAATTTACCCCATTTCCAAAGCAACCACTTATTCTGTCTGAAGATTCTTCTTGGTGCAATTTATGTACTGCCATGAGCTAGGAATTATGTTGCAAAAAAAGAAATCAAAGTTACCTAATAAGTAATAGAAAACCTTGACTAAGTCACCCTGAAAATGAGAAAAGGACTGCCCTTGACCCCTTAACAATACCTGGCCACTTCTGAATGAATATCTGTTTGGCACCTGTACTTTTAGAAACATTTTGCAAGTGCAATTGATATTAGAGGTCCAAGCTCCCCAAAAAACAATTTAGGATGTTCCCTGGGCTAACGTGCACACTCAAAAACTCAAATTCTTGGAAACTAGAAATATGACCACTGAGCTTTCTTCCAGCCTGTCCCATGTTGATCAAACCTAAGAAACCCTCATTGTTTCCATATTACTCGACATAGTCGGGATCAACAGTCTAGGATTTTCCTCAATAAGCTTGCTAGGTAAGTCATCAACTGAATTCACCTTTTAATGAAACTGCACATAAAAAGTGTGCGAACAACAAAAAAGGTGAGCACTAAATCCTGAATCCCTAAAGTTTAAATCAGAAAAATAATAAGACCTGGAATAGTTAGCTTTGACGGGATATAGCACTAGAGGGCACTGCTAAGATGAGGAAGTTTTCAAAGACATATCTTCATAACTGGGAAGGTAGGACACCAGAGACAGACCTTTTGAAATTCACTCTTCCATCTATGGAAAGCCACAAGTACAGACAATCCTGGGGGCTCTTCAGCGTTCTTTCTCCACAGCCTTCTTTCAGAAATATCAACTGGAAAGACACTGCACTGATAAATCCAGCACCTTAGATTTCAGCGATTCTTTCACTTACTAGCTGTGTGAGCCCGATTCACGCTTTTCATCCCCGTGATCCTCAGCAGCTGTATCTGTAAAATAAAGAGGGTGGTTCTGATGGTCTCTCAGGACCTTTTGAGCTCTAAGGTCCTTTGAATCAATAATTCTCCTCCCCCGGGATGTCCAAGAGTTTAATGATTCACCAAACTTGGTGACAACTTCTTAGAAACTCCTAGGTGGAGGGAAGAATGAAGGCAGCAGGGGACTTGGTTCAGAAATACTCTCTCAATGTTTTAGAGCTTGGTAGGGGGCTGTGATTGTTAATGTTAGAGTGTATGAATAGGGTTTGGTGACATACACATACCTCTAGGGTGAAGATTGTGCCTGTCCATCTGGCACTCAGTTAACGGTAAAGAAGACAATCTACCATCAATCAGTGAGAAACTGGAAAGAAGAAAGGATTGGAGGGGGTAAAAGATTGTAAGAAGTCATGAAGATGTAGAGTATTCAAAAAAATAATTCATCTTTTATCATGTATTTATTTAGCCCCTTTATGTGCAAATAATTAAAAATGCTGAAAAAAATCTTTCTATTAGAATTGTGCTTTATCATTTTAAAGGCAGTTTTATTTTATAGTTTCAGTTAATTGTTTTAACAATTGTTTTAACAATTGTTAAATTGTTTTTAATTTAACAATTAAATTTTTTCATTTAATTGTTTTGATGGGGCACACATGGCACAGTAGCATTTTTCCTGCTTAAAGGAAGAGGAGAGCAAAGCTCAGAGAGGTTAAGTGAGGTTAATAAATATTGAAGAGCTAATTAACAAGTCAGGATTAACCTTCAGGTTTTCTTATTCCTATTTCTTGTGTTCCTCCTATTAAATCACAAATATGACCATCTGCTCCCACTACAAGTTCCTGTATTTGTCCTAACAAGCTGGGGGTCTTGGGCCCCACCTTATTGAGGCACCCTTTCCTTCATTTGGCTACTTGAGAATGAAGACTGAAGATAAAAGTCATACAGGAGTTTAGGCTTTGCCCAATAGGAGATGGAAACGTGCACTTTTCTCCCCAAGCGTTAATGCACCTTTGAATTCATCACAGAAGGACCATAGATGAAGAGGCTGAAGCTGGGCTCCTGGATTTGACACTAGCTTTATATCAGTTTCTTCAGGCCTAATACCTGTCAAATACGTGATGACACTTGCCCAATCCAATGTAGAGCTTTTTTTCTAGTATCAAATCAGGGGGAGTATGTAGAAGCCCCTTGAAAACAAGGTGTGAACCCATAAACGTGTGGTGTGTTTATTATGGTTGTTCAATGTGTGGCTGAAAGAATAGATGGTAGCCAGTACTGGCTTGACTTCAGGCTCGGGGATCAAGCAAGTCCAGAGGAGAGGGATTTGGATCCATTTCCTAAACAAAGAAGCAAAGTCCAGAAGCAGCTCAATGCTTAGAAAATAAGGAACAGTTGGTCTCACAGCTTGGCCAGGCAGGAGGGTTGGCACGGATCCTCAGATCATCGTGCTCTGCCTAGTGAATTGAGTGGGCCTCACCAGGGGCTGGATGTTAGCCTCCTTCTGGCTCGAGAGAAGCAGTGGGGGGTTGTGACCACCTGTTCTCTCAGAATGTCATTGTACCTCTTGCACATTTTCCTACACAGGCAGACAAAGTCCAAGCCAGGCCCTTGGAAAAATCACAAAATAAAAAAACTTCTGCCTTCATTCTTCCTCATTTTTTCTTCAATATTCCCATTTCCTCAACTCATAGTGACTTTCCAGAGATGCCCAGTGGCCCCGATGGGCCACAAGCCTGACTCTAGTGACCTCCCAGACTAGCCTGTGGAGCTATCACCATGTGCCGCAGACATCTCTGTTCCTCACCCACAAATTCACTGACTTGGTACTACCCCCTTTTCATCCTCCTCTCAGCAAGTTGCCAGCTGGAAGTCTGAGCTGATAAGTAGCTTGCACTGAAGAGTTTATAAAAGACAATCAAACTGAAAAGTAACTCCTCTCACGAATTCTAGTACATTAACAATAGGCTTTTAAATAACTTTACCAAAAGAAAAAAAAGAATGAATGAATGCCAAATGGATCACCTCCAAAACAATCAATAGGATCATAGGGTTGCTATTTTGAGGTTAAGTCTTAAGTAGAATTAAGAAGAATTCTCCACTAAAAGCCTCTCATTTCTTGATCCTGATAGTTTCCTTTAAAAATTAGAATCTTTAAACAGCAATCAAAAAATACAACTTATGTATGTATATACATATATATTATATATATTTCTTTATCATATAATATATATTTATTTTTAAGATTATATACAGTAGCTTTTATCAATTCCAAATAGTGAGAAGGCTATATTTTTTAATTAAAACATAAGTAAAATGTCCTGTGAAAACATCAAAAGGACAGCACAATATTAATAAAACAAGTGGCTCTATGGCTGATAGGCTGTAGAGAGCTCAGAGTGACACAGGTAGTAACTCTGGCCGTGAAACTAGATTAATTCTGCTTCATAAACTCTTCAACAATCCAAGACCTGATGTCTTGTCTTGACCCTTAGTGGCCTCACAGACTCTTCAGTGTGTCAGTCATCTCCAAGAAATCATCTGAAGGCTTGAAACCTGACTAGTTGCTCGATACCTTGGTACTTGCTCTGTATCCTCTCTACAGAATGATCCATACTGGACAGAGACTCAAAGATGCAGCCTATAGTGAACACGTATTTTCTTTTAAACACCTAACATCCCTTCCTTAGATAAACTGTCTCATCCCCATGCCATATGGTTTTAGTCAGCATCAGCTCAGGTCCCCTATGAAGCAAACATCAAGCCAACAATGGAAAACAAAGTATTTATTGGAGAAAATACCTCTGAAGGTTAAGAGAGAGAGCAGGAATAAGGTAGGGAGAACCTTCATTCAGACTACAACATGAGTTTGACATCTATAAAAGCAGAAAGGGGAGGAGGGATTGGATAGGAAGGACCTTAGACTACAGTGAAGTTATGAGAGTGTCTCAGCTAGGCCAGTGGGAAAGTCCTTGGACTTATGAGAATTTGCTAAGGAATCCCACATCGGGCTGGAATGACTGGGTTTGAGTATCCCCACCGTGCTTAGTCATTGGCTGGGAGCAGCCCAATGAAAACATGGCCTGGTGTGAAAGACACAGTGGGTCCCTAGTGTGGCAGCTAAAGGCTGTCAATCAGCTATGCTTCCTGCAGCAGGTTCTCTGAAAGAGAGATCTGAATGGTACACTTCCACCACTGCTGTATAATGGGACTGTCAATCATACAACCCAATTCACAAACAGAGGGAACTATCCAAGCAAGGCCAATCAAAGCATTTCTCTAGAGTTGATATGCAGACATTAGCAGGAACCAGCTCCTTTTTCCACTGGGGAATCTGAAGGAGGTGAATCCAGGGCTGCCAACTTTCTTTAGCACATGCAGAATCCAAACTTCATCAAGGAGAAAATATGATCAAACCACAGAAGAAAACAAAGTTCAAACCGGGGAGAAAAGGGAGTCCTGAAGTTAGAAGCTGCTAAATATCATTTTTTCCCCCTTATACTAGTTTGCATTGTATTTCTGCCACAACTAAAAAGTTCTCTGCCTAATACCTAATAGTGCTTTCACTGTAATTATCGTCGTATATTAGAGCTTGAAAGGCCTTTAGAAGTCATCTAGCCCTTACTGCACATTGCAATAACTTGAGCAACTTGGTTTTGATACCAAATGCTGGACCCCATTCTAATCTAATTAAATCAGAATATCTCTAAGTGGAACACATGAATCAGTTTATTCCTTTAAATTACATAGGTGATTCTGATGTTTATTCAGGGTTCAGAACCAATGGTCTTGTCAATCGTTCATTTTGCAGATATGAAAGCTGAGGTTTAAACATAGAAAGTGATGGGTCCCAAATCCACAGGAGATAGAGCCAGGAGTTAAACTCAAATCCCCTTACTTCTAATCTGATGCCCTTTATTAAAATTACCATGTGACATTTCAGTTGAGAAATAAACATTTCTTTCATCTCTGAGTAAAAATCCTTTGTTCTTTTTTTAAAAAATGTTTAATTCTTGTGAAAAACTCTCTGTTCTTTAAGAAGCCTAAGTTACTGTCTCTCCTGATACTTAGAGTTATTTATATATTTATCAAAACAGGAAGAAGTTACCAGTCCCAGAAACAAGAACCAAATACAAAGCAGAGATTGCATTCCCCCACCAGCACAAGTAACTATAGCACCTTGCTATCTGATGGGAATCCATTCTGCCCCCTTACAGCTGTCAGCTGCTTATCCCTGAGAGGAAGTGGAGAGGGATTCCAGACTGAACCAAGCCATCATGTTGAGCAGCAACAATTAGGAAAAGACGACTGTTGGCTTTCTCTGTAAGTTACTCTGACATATAACAGCCATTGGTTCTCAACACTGATATGAACAACCATCTCCTTTGCTCTTGCGCAAAAAAAAAAAAAAAATAGTGATTCCTACAACTCAATTTCTTTTATCAAATTGGTGTTCTGAAAAGCCACGCTATTTTTGAGTCTTCTTTCCACAGGCATTTCATTGTCATTAAACACACCATCATTCAAAATACTCGTAGAAAAAAGCGGAATGCAAAATGATCAGTGTGGTACAATCATAACTGAGTAAAATGAATAGAAAAAATGATGAGTTAACGATGAGCATGTCTAGGTTGTGGAGTTAGAAGTTTAGGACTACATGACGGGGGCAAGATGAAGGATACTATGAACAGAATGATGACAAATGGTCTGAGGACAGATACCAAGTTCTGAGCCAGTTATTCCAAGGTAAAGGAGAACAGCAATGGTGAGTAGACCCAGGGGGATCTGGAAATGATCAAATCAAGGAAAAATTGTTTAAGTCAATAATGCAATGACAGTTATACCAGTAATTTTTTGAAGGGTGGAGAAGATAGCATTTTAAAATGACCCAGGACCAAGAATCCCTGATTCGATTATTAACCCAAATTATAACTTTAGAAAAGACATTTTACCTGGCTCTGTTCTATGTTTTAATGCTGTTGTTGAATGGATTTCATGAGTAACTAAAGGCTTATGATGATTATTGGTTTGAAGAGAAAAATTCTAGGGGATACTCTCTAGGGCTTTTTGCAGTCTTTTAATTCAATGATTCCATCACTCTAAAATTCCTCTCATCTCTCAAGATTTTCCAAGCAAGTGGTCCTCTACTTAATCTTTGTTTGAAGTTGGGCCTTTTGTCATCATGTGGATGGTGAAAGTGACCTTCCAGATCCAGAAAATATTCACGTATAGGGTAATTTTGATCACAGCACACATTACTTCTATTGCATCCTGTCTACTGACTTCCATTAGTTACCACATGTTGAATAGCTTTGAAATGCTCTTGCTTTTTTATTTCAAATTTTCTGCCTTTTTCCTTGTTGTTAGTGAAAGTCTACTTTTCCCTAATAATTCAACTTCCCAAAACAAACTACTGCCCGTGACAGAAGGTACACTCAAGCACAATGTATTGATTATGTATTTCCAGGAGAATGCTTCTCACCCCTTACCATTTTGCCCCTGGTAGAGCTTGGTTTTTACCTGAGAATACAGTGTTTGTACCAAAAGTACTCTTCCTGCAAAGAAAAGTAACTTTTGACATAGCAGTGTGCACAGGAATAAAAAATAATTGCACTTTGTGATAGAGAAGTAATGCTTTTCTGCTTTTATGGAGAACAAATTGGGCCAGATGTTCTTTCATTTCTGTATTTGGTTGGTTACTTATTAGTTCCCTAGGAGAAGAATGGAATTTCTAAAAGGTGAAGAGAATAAAAGAAATTTTTCCAATGTGTATTATCAAGAATGTGATAACTCACGTCCAAGAGGCCATAAAACTCTCCTATATTAGATAGTGTGGTTGATAAAAATACCAATTATGAAACCAGAGTCGGAAATAAAAATTTGAGTCCAGTTTTTCTCTTATTTACAGTTCAATGCAAATAATGACTGAAGACGTGCACTCTCTATTGAAGAACTTACAAAACATGCAACATGAATTAATGAAAGGTGATAAGTAGAGCAAGGTGTTTTGTAGGAATTACATGACAAGCATAAAATCTCTAGTACCCAGGAACTTAACAAATGCCAGCTCTTTCTTTTCATACACATCAAACACCTGTCCCTGCCAACTGACAGAGAAGCTGCAGATCAGCATAGGCTTGGGGAGGTAGGAAACACAATACTGAAGGCTTGAGGTGATCTCACACAGGTAGGTAGGATTTCTAAAGTCCATTACCAGGGAACTCTGGCAATTGTCTCACTACGTAAACAGTAAAAAAGTAGTAATAATAATATTGTTTAAGTCAAAAATAATGGTTTGAATCTCACTTTCCCTTTCCCTTCTTTTAAACTTTGATTGTGACTAGCTCTATTTTTTATAAATCTCAATCCCTGTATGCATTGAAAATGTTAATATTACCTGCCCAATTTTTTTTTTTGAGACAGAATCTTGCTCTGTCACCCAGGCTGGAGTGCAGTGGCGCAATCTCAGCTCATTGTAACCTTCGCCTCCCAGGTTCAAGCAATTCTCCTGCCTCAGCTTCCCAAGTAGCTGGGATTACAGGCACTCGCCACAACACCGGGCTAATTTTTTTTTTCCTAGATGGAGTCTTGCTCTGTCGCCCAGGCTGGAGTGCGGTGGCAGGATCTCCATTTACTGCAACCTCCACCTCCCAGGTTCAAGCAATTCTCCTGCCTCAGCCTCCCGAGTAGCTGGGATTACAGGCGCCTGCCACCATACTCGGTTAATTTTTGTATTTTTAGCAGAGATGAGGTTTCACCATGTTGGCCAGGCTGCTCTCAAACTCCTGACCTCAGGTGATCTACCCTCCTTGGCCTCTCAAAGTGCTAGGATTATAGGTGTGAGTCACCGCGCCCGGCCTACCTGCCATACTTTTATAATGGTCTTGTTTTATCAAAAGGGATACTTGACATAAATGAATTTTATAAAATTTAGAGGGCCCTAGAAATAAAAATTAATAACATTTATCACACAAGCATACATTGAGAGACTGGGCTTGGATCGTGGGGCACAATTTTGAATAGCCTGGCCGTTTCCCTCCAACTGCTTGCAATGAAGCAAAATGGGAGAAGAGAGGTAAGTGAGGTTTCACAAAAGAGGTGTCGTAAAAGCAGGTTCTTGAAAGATAAAAAGTAGCTCACCAGTCACAGAATACAGCAGGACTGG